CTTTAAGCACCGGTTTGAGCACCGTTTAAGCACAGTTTCAAAAGTACCGGTTTGTACCGGTATCAGATAAAACCTAAACGATACCCATCCCTACTGTTGGGTTTGTAAGGCCATGTTACTCCTAAATTTCTATCTTGTTCAAAGAGAAGATATAAAACAAAGTTCTAAGCTACTCGACCTGTGTGTTCTCCTTTTTTAAAAAGAATCGATAAAGAATCGAATCGTTAAACAGAATCGAAAATGGAATTAGAATCGTGAAAATCTTATCAATACCCATCCCTAACCAGGACCCCTAGCAGCTCATTTCTGTGTGTCGTCAGGTGCTCTTTTTAAATGTCTTTAACCAAAACCCACAATATACGTTTGTTTATGGTGGTTTTTGTTGGAAAACTAGTGGGAACTAAATGTCAAACTTGGGGCAGCAACATTGAAGTTACGTAACTGGGCAGTAAAATATTAGTCTGGACTGAGTGTCAAATGTTCATAACTGCAGGGAATAGAAGTAGTTAGATTTGGAACGTGGAATGTTCAGCACAAATAGGAAATTGTCATGTAACGTTTTTATTATTTGTTTTTTCATTGTGTTTAAAAAACATAGTACTAATTTAGTTTATATTCAGTGTAACTGATTTCTCTCTCTCGCTCTAGCTTACTGGCGTTTCTGGCTCTGCGTCACTGTCGTCTATGAACTGTTCCTCATCTTCATCCTGTTTCAGGTTGGTGTGGTGAGAATTTTGCTTCCTGGAAAGGCTAAAACACGTCAGATCAACACGTGCAATGCAAATTCTTAACTCATGGGAACTCTGTACACAATCACATGACAATTTTCCCTCCCACATCAAACTTCTCTTTTTGAGATTTCTACTCAGTGATTTTTATGACATGGATTTTCTGGACGTTTGCTTTGACATTTAATTATAATCGTGGTCTCCAAAAAGAAGGCCAGATGGAGTCCATAAGTACTTCTTAAAAGTGTAGTCAAGCCTGGGCAAAATATCGGGCTTCCCCCCCCCCTCCCACTATGATATGTCTGTTCCAGTCTCTGGTGCTTTTTCTGCTGTGATCCCTGGAAGTCTCTTTTCCCTCTCCCAATTTAATTAAATTGTCACTGAGCCAGGCCCTTCAGACAGCCCTGGACACTGTAAAAGAAGAAGAATAAAGGGGGGGGGGGTTATATTTAACCATCTACTTCCTGTTTATAAAAGGATAATTTTAAGTTGTTGCTAGGTAAAAAGCAATAAAATTTTACTTTTATGCCACAGAAATCTGCCGTTAACTGAAGGAGGACACCATCTGATGTAGCCTGTGTAGAAATGTAAGTTCTGGTGGTACTTGCTCTTATTCTTATCCTCCTTTATCCAGACGGTGCACGATGGACGACAGTTCATGAAGTACATTGACCCCAAATTGGGGGTTCCTCTCCCTGAGCGTGATTATGGGGGAAACTGCCTCATTTATGACCCTGGAAACACTACAGACCCTTTCCACAACATCTGGGTGAGAGAATGAATTTTTTTGCTTTTTATGTTACTTTTCTCTCCTGTGTATCTTTGCAGGTAGGAATGTTTGTAAGACTTGAATTTTTGATAGTATTATGCCGTTAAAAAAAAACTGAGTAAGAAACAGGCCGCCTTCCTAAAAGTAAAATTTCTTGTCCAGTCATGCATTTATAATTTTGTGCATATTGTCCTCAATTATTGCTATAAGGAAGTGGCTCAGATACAGAAAAGAAATATGGCCTTTTGTAAAACTTCTCTTATCTCTTTTTCTTCTGCTTTATCTCTCTTTCATTCTCAAACACACACAAGAATACAGTTACTGTGGAGGTGTGCAGCAGCTTGAGTCTGGGGCAGATTACAGTCCATCAATAGAACCAGGCCTTCCTCTGTCTGCTGCCATGACCCAGAGCCCACCTCCACTAATAGTCTGATTTTGGCCTCTAAAACCCCATTTCTGTGAATAGACTTTTTAAAATGTCAAATTAAAGCCACATATTTATCAATAAACTTTACTTTGGTTGTAGGGATTTTTAATACATAAAAATGTGTTGGGTTACTAAGCAGAAATAATATGATCCAAATAGTAAGGGTAGAACTGTGTGTTTAATTGCATTTTATTTGTGCTTCGTGATGCCCAAAGAGGCTTTGTCCTGTTCAGTGACCCAGTACTCTCTGTGCTCATTTCTTCCTGTTTCCAGTGTGAACTAGATGCGATGCTTTATTTGAACACAGATGGTCTTATTTTAACTGTCCGAGCACAAATAGAAAGCAGCAGGACTTTTTAGAGCACAGGCTGTGTGTGTCTCCAAGCTCGCTTGCTGTTTTGGGTTATATCAGTGGAGCAGTGAAACTTAAAACAGTGCTCAATGAACTGAAATGCAGTTTGAAAATGTTAAGAAATGCACACAGTCACAGATCTGTGTTTTAATGGAAAGTTAGAAACCATAGGATGCTTATCATAATCCGCTACCAGTGTAATGCAACACATCTCCCTGTTAAATGGGCTACTTTGCAGTAAATATGGTGGATGGTTGGCACTGCACTCAGATGTGGAATTTCACAAATCAGTGGCTGCATGGTTATCAAGTTTAGGGTTCTGGTGCCTACATGTGGCTGCTGGGATATAAAACACTGAAGGAGCAGTTTCTTACAGTGCATTGTATTTATGTGTAGATAAATGGAGAGCAGTCAATATACAGGCTTGGAGTGATTAATAATTGTTTGTATTGACAACATATAGGCTTTCTGGGAATGATATATTTGCATATTCTAAATGTCACTTTATAGTTTGCATCTGATTATGTCACATTTGATTTCTGATCTCCCTTTCTCATTTTCACATCTGTTTTTCTTTCCAGTTGACCCTAAAAACAAAAAAGTTATTTTTACCCCTCAGTCGTAAAAGGCTGAGAGGGTATTTGTTGGCACCCAACTTTAGAAATGCAATAACACGATCATTAAACACGATTAACAGTTTAATGAAAGGGCTTTTCACGTGTAAGATTTAGGGGCAAAATTGTAGTTGGGCTTGCTGTTAAACATCATTTGTCTCTGCAGGACAAGATGGATGGCTTCGTGCCAGCTCACTTTCTCGGATGGTATATCAAGGTAGGTTTGGAATTAGCCGTCTGACATGTTTCATAAAAGCAGTTGAGCGTGCTGTCCTCGCTGTTATGTACACATCACAGATTTAAATGGTTTGACTTTGCAATGATTACAGAGCACCTAGTCAATAAGTGCCAAGTGAGGTCATTCCCATTCTCATGTGATCATTTATTGACAAATAAAGTTGCACCTTTTTTATTGTTTGTCTGTTGTCTTGCTGACCTTCTCACACTCTATTTCCCTCCAGACTCTAATGATCCGGGATTGGTGGATGTGTATGATAATCAGTGTCATGTTTGAGTTCTTGGAGTATAGCCTGGAGCACCAGTTGCCTAATTTCTCAGAGTGCTGGTGGGACCATGTACGTACATTTGTGCTGTTTTCTTCTAATTACAAAATACTGTGTGACACATGTTGAGGTTATTTTGGTTGTTTTTTGTCTAGTTTTCTGAGTGAGTCTTTTGTAATAAGGCACAAATGGTAAGATCAAGATGTCTTCTCTTTAAAGTGTAACAGTGTTTACTGCAGATATAATCCTGCCTAATGTGGACATACTTTTTAAATGTGTCCATATTAGACAAGAAGTTTCTTTGAACCAAAGTGTGAATAGATAAAATGTTCAAAACAAGGATTACATTGTAAATTTAAAAGTAAAATTAAAGGGTTTTACGGACATTTTGCAGAACACATTATATTCATCATGTGTTAAGTTGGGAGGTTCACAGATCTCTTGCTCGTCAGCACATTGATAAGTAAAAGCACAGAAAGTGGAAGCATGCGAGTGATTATTTTGCTAGTGATATTTGTAATGGCAACAAAGTGCTCATTTGTTTGCATGATAAGAACTTCATACCAGCAACTAACAAAGTGGTCTAATTAACAGAAGGGGTAGCTGGTAAAGCCAAGTGAGCACTGCTGGAAAGCAACAGGAAAAACTCCAAATATAAACAGACGGTATAGGTATTATGTAATTATAATCACGACTGCAAAGATAAATACTGCGGTTGCTGTTGCTACTTGTTACACACAAAAAAACCTTAGTTATAGTAAATGTAAATTATATTCAAGGTGGAGGAGAGATGTGTGATAGTTGGTTTGGAGGATTACTGCACCTCACTTACCCTTTTTTCTTTTTCTTTTTTTTTGTTTCTCCATCTAGTGGATCATGGATGTGTTGGTGTGCAATGGTTTGGGGATCTACTGTGGCATGAAGACACTGGCCTGGTTGTCAATGAAACCGTATCAGTGGCAGGGCCTCTGGAACATTCCTACATACAAGTATGACTTTATGAAAGACATTTCTTTGCAAACATTTTATGTTGGGCTTCTGTATTTGTTTATATTTAATGATATCTCTGTCTGTACTTGGCAGGGGGAAGATAAAGCGTATAGCATTCCAGTTCACACCTTACAGCTGGGTCAAGTTTGAGTGGAAGCCTGCTTCAAACCTTCGCCGCTGGCTTGCTGTGTTAGGCATCATCTTTATGGTAAGAAATGCTAACATGAAGGGAAAGCATTTGTCTCACTGCAAAAAATGATGACATCACCATGCAATAACAATGCACAGAAAGCGTAATGTATTTAGACTCTGATATATAGATAATACATGTTCATGGACTGGCCTAACCACTATATTGATTAATATATTGCTGATATATCTCTATCTGGATTCGTGACTATTGATAAACTGGAAAGAGTAAAAGAAGAGATCATAGAAACACCCTTCAACCATGGTTTGAATGTTGGCGTTGCTTAGTTTGTCCGCCAGATGCCACTCTGCTACTTCCCTGTTAGCAACACATTGTAACGCTGAAAACATGACAACCACCTGATGTGAGCAGAGGCGGGTGGAGCATAAACATCAAATCCACAACTTGTGACAATCGATCAACATTAAGCTTAAACAGCACTATCCTGTCTTCTTAGAAAGGACTCAAATAACTGCACATAACAGACGCATAGGAAATGTGTTTCATGAATCGAGGAGAGAGGAAAAAATATCAGATTTGTAATTCATCAAATATGGGCGTAGTTATGTTGGGCCCTATTTCTGTTTTTGGTTCCCTGTCTGACACCTGAATTAGTTCACGAAATGTAAAAGACTAGTTCTTGTTAGCTAATGGAAAAGAAAGACGTGCCCAACATGGACTGATTGTTGTAACTTTTTCTTTTCTGTGTTGTTTTTGTGTTCTTGGTGCTTCTAAATTAGATATTTTATCTCCTATCTCGCCAGTTTCTGTTGGCAGAGCTGAACACCTTCTACCTGAAATTTGTGTTGTGGATGCCTCCTGAACACTACTTGGTGCTGCTTCGTCTTGTCTTTTTTGTCAACGTGGGGGGCGTAGCCATGAGGGAGATCTACGACTTCATGGATGACCCGTGAGTAGCAATGTGCAGCTTTTGTTTTGGGAGTTGGACAGTTTGACCGGGTGTATAATAAAAGACTGTATGTGTTTTATACACACCGAATAAAGAACTTGTTGACATTCAGCACTGATTCAGTTTAGTCAAGTGTTTGAGTTTTAAACTGGTTATCGTAGTGCAAATTGAAATCAGAAAACTAGATAAGCACAGCAGTGAAGAAATGTGAGAGTCTTCTGTATACTATACACAGCAAAAATATTTAGTAAGAACACCATTCATACATACCAGCCATGAGCAAACATGTGCATTGATAAGAATATGGTTACTAGTAACAGAAACAGACAGAAATGTTTCGTTTTCTGCCATTTTTCCAGTGTTGGGTTAGTGTTGGAAGATATTTCTAGTGATTAACTGATTAAACCTGAGGGATTATATTCTCATTAAAAATAAACTCAATTAAATATGTCCATGTATTCCATATGTATATAAAAGCCATTTTTAACTATTTAAATACCAAATGAAGGGAAATGTGTGGCGCTCACGCACAGTGTCAGATTAGTTTGCCAAGTATGACTAGCATTAGTGGACTTCTTTACTTGCAGGTTAACGTCGTCACAGCTGCTGTGCAGAATGTTGTTGGGAATTACTCTGATTGCATTCCAGTTCATTGTAGAACAGCCTACATACATCCATTCATTTGCTATAGCTAAGTACTGCAGTACTGTACTAGTTCTGTTTAACCAGTGTTGTCCACTAACAAAATTCGTATAATTACTCAGACTGTAGTATTTCTGGTAGACTAGAAATGGAAGTATCATTTAACTGTTGACTATTCACATGCATGGGTAGTGATATAGTGCTGTGCGTTACGATGTTACATCACAGCCATACATGTAACCAGTAAATATTAAAAATAAACCTAAAAAAGTAAATGTATCCTCCCTATTGAATAATTTTTCCATAATAACATTGTTTCATTTTCCTAACAGGAAGTTCCACAAGAAGCTCGGCCAGCAGGCGTGGCTGGTATCAGCAATCACAGTAACGGAGTTCCTAATAGTGGTCAAGTATGACCCCCACACCATCATGCTGCCCATTCCTTCTCTTATCATTCAGTGCTGGTTTTTAGGAATCCTCCTCATACTTATCTGGACCGTGTGGCGGTTTTTCATCCGGTAAGTAGTGGGATGGCTTATTTTATTTATTTAATTGTTGTTGTGGTTGTTGTTTGTTTTGTGGTGGGGTTTTTTGTTTTTGTTTTTTGGGGGGGGGGCGGAGAAGCTGAGGGTGACAAACAATGTTTGTTGAAAGGTAATGAAAGTCTGTGCTCTTCGTGTAAAAACAGCTAGGCTGTAAGGAGGAGCGATTTCAGCTTCTTAACCATTTCTCGCTTGTGTCTAGTAAACACAATAACTACATTGGGACCAAAGTCCAAAGTATCGCTCTGTTTTTCTATTTTGGTTCACTGGACATCGTGCAGTCTATTTGAGACAGGTCCAGTCTGCCTTTGGGTCGCTCTTCTCTTTTAAGTTATTGTTTTTGTGTGTGTCAGCTTTCTGTGGGTTTTCCACTGGTCTGTTTCATGTAGAGTCCAGTTATGGACTCTTACATGCTAATTATAGAAAGGGAAGTTGGAAATTGGCAAAAAGCAGCTGTTTTCCAAATGAACTTTATACACTCATGCAGGAAAAGATGACAATCTGCTTCCATGCTGCTGTTTTGCACTTCACTTTTGCTTTAAATGCACTGTTCATGGTGACTGATGAGGAAATACAGTTTAATTACAGTTTAAGAAAGATGTCTTCACACATGTGAGACTCCATCCAGTGTGCTCCTGTATTTGATTTAGTTATTCCTCATGAGCTCATGGAGTGTGTTCTTTTTCTTTTCTTTTTTGAAATGTAATTAAATTTTTTTGAGCTGCCTTATCTTTACTGTGTTGTTAGGTGCAGCCTGCCCTGGCATGTTAGGCTTGTTGTCTGTCCCCCCCCCCCCTTGCCTTTTCCCTCCCCTTCCTTACTACTTCCTGCTCTTGCTCAGCAATAATGCAGTAATGTCCTAGGTATAGGAAAAGTGTAGGGTTTTTATTTTCTTTGTTTGTTTGTTTCCACTCTTCTACCACATCACCATTTGGATCTATAATCATTATTAGAGGATCTATGGGATCCTCTAGAGAACGTCTGTGGTGAATTTTATCATCTTCATTTTCCTTCACATCATTTTTACTCTGTTCCAGTCAGTTTAGTGACACTAGAGGGCACTCAGTTTGTGCTGACACTGTTTAAGTGAGTCAGGGCAGTGAAACCCAGAGGAACTGATACCCCCCGCACACACGCACACAGACACACACAGACACACCCACACACTAACCATCACGTGACAAGAGCAATGAGATCAGCTCAACCACTTCTTCTGGTCTACTAAAGATAAAAGTGTGCCATTATCCAGTTATTCTGATCAAAGTGATTTTTTTTTTTTTTTTTACCGAGAACCTTAAGAATTTGCAAGCACTGTTTGACCCTATTGCACACTCCCAGTCTGTTACCTAATATGCTTCATTTAGTATGAGTGGACCGAGGCAAGTGCTGAGTGCATGTTTTGTTTTGAGGTGTGTAACTGCTTGGTGCTCTTCCATTAAGTGTTACAGAGGTCCTCATGAGGAGCATTCAAAATAATATTAATGTTAACAATAAACATAGTATCAATGATAAGTACTTTTTGTATGTTTTTGTGAAGTGCTTCCCAGAAACAGAATAAACTTACACGAAAAGAAATGTTAAAATGTATTTATATATCATTTAAAATAAGTTCAGTATCAAAAGAAAACTAAGATAAAGAGCCGAAGCGATCGCCTTTCATCTGTAAGCATGAGATGGACACAGTTAACGGGTTCCTGCCAGGGGATCTCAGACCGTGACCCGGTTGCTATGCAGCAGTTGAAGTACATATTCTGGAGTCAGGCGATGAAATGCTTTAAAAGAAATAAGTAAATCTTAAAATCGATTCTAAAAGTCATGGACAGCCAGCGTAGTCATTAGGGTTGAAGTAATATGTTCACTTTTCCTGGTTCTTGTAGGAAGTCTTGTTGCTGCACAATCTGAGCACAAGCAGAAGTCTGTGTATTGATTTCTGATTGTTACCTGTTAAGAAACTATTGCATTAACCAGAGAGAAGGTAAAACTGAAAATGAACGTCACTGAAAACTCAGTGTTGATCGTATCCTCGCACTATTCCTAAAAAATGAGATTAAAATCAAACAACACACCCAGATTTCTGGCAACTCGGTAAACTGGTAAAGTTGGTACTTGGATGCAGGCTGTCCAACCCAGATCTAAGAATTTTTGTTTTATTGGAGTTAAATTTTTTAATAATAATAATAATAATAATAATAGTTATTGTTATTGTTTTTAAATGCACATCTGTTTCTTGATGTTGGTTAAATAGTTTGTAAGGTTGATGAAACTTGTTGAACCTTACTGGGAAATGGAGCAGTGGGTTATCAGCATAGCAGTGAAACAAAATGTTATTTCACTGTATAATGTGGCCAAGTAGTAGCGTATATAATGAAAAAAGTATATTATTATTATTATTATTATTGTTAGAATGGCATCCAGCTTATTTTGGGACACACAAATGACATTTGTTGTCAAATACACAAAAGGTCCCTGCCCTCACCCTCAACCAGTGGTGGCAGATGTCTGCCCATCCCTGAGCCTGGATCTACCTTCCAGTTCCTTCCCACTGTCACCAAGTGCTTGCTTAAAAGGGGTCGTTTGATTTGGTTTTTTCTGTCGGTGGTCTTCTCTGTTTTATTCATTTTCCCCCCTGACCTTCCTAAAAGCAGGGATTTCATACAGACTGACTAATCGATTCCTGTAGTGATGGATTTATTTAACAAAGAGAAACTAGGAATTTTTCTTATTCTCAAAAAGTAAGAAATGCAGCTCACGTGAGACTTTGAGAGCAGAGCTTTATCTTCTGTTTGTGATGTTTGTTAAAGTAATCAGCTGTTTCGTTTGTTTGTTTTTCTTTTAATATAATCCAGTGTATAGTGTAGGCGTAGGAATTATAACAAATAAACATTCTGTGAGAAAAGTTAGTGGACCAGAAACCATCTGGGAAGACATGACCCTCAGGGATGACGCATTATAAATAATGCGTGTGCTCTTTCCTTCTGTCTTCTCACAGTGACATCACACTCCGCTACAAAGAGACGCGCCGGCGTAAACAGGAAGCCCCCGCTGACTGGGACCGCCCGCTGGGCAACGGCAGCACAACCGCCCCCTCCGGTCGCAGCAAACTGAACGGCAGCTCCGAGACGCTGAGGCAGCGGAAGTCCTGAGAGGAAGCCGGTCAGTCACGCTGTCTGCAGCGAATGAAGGGGGACAGTGAGAGGAGTTGAGGAGAAATGTAACACAAGAAGACACTTAGAGGATGGACACATACTGTTCTTGTGCCTACATGAACCAAGTAGTTATATAACACAGGCAAGGGGGTGAAGGGGGCAATTTTCATTCGGTGTATGTGTAGTTATTGTCCTACTTCTGGTATTTACCTCATTCTGTTTCAAAGAACATTTGGTGGATTAACAGACAAGATAGTTTTGCATTAGTAATATATATTTTTTGAATGTTTGGTGATGAGGTGAATCAGTACAGAATTGGAAAGTAGATGTGACCAATAATTTTTCCATTTTCTCAACTGCACTTTGTCTTTAAAAACAAAAAAGCGAGAGAAGAAGAATGGAGGAGGAACATCTGCCACTGTAAATATGCTTAACCCTGTGTTGTGCAGTCATATCAGTGCAGGTGAGAAAAAGGAGAGCATTTAGAGGAGTTTCTGAAGGTGTAATGACTGATCTGGATTCTGTTCTACTATCCACTACTATGCAATCTTCAGTATCAAACTGGGCGCAAGTAAGGATAACAACACATGGCTGTTCAGTTTAGTTTAAGTGACACTTACTTTACCAGCTGATTCCTGATTCATTCTGACAGCTTACACTAGGTTTAGTCCCAGGTACATGATGTATTGTTTACATGTGGAAGACAATTGAAGGTTTTTTTGTTTTGTTTTTTTCATTTCCAGTTCAGCGTTCATTCCTAGAAGCACTGAGCCTTGAGGGTTCTTGCTCAGGATCCTCCTTTAGTCACACACAAGAGAGGAAAACTGGTCAAAGCCTTTCTTTCCTCTCAAACTTTGTTCTTGACAAGAACAACAAGAATAAAATCAAGATGTACTATATTCTAGTTATTTAACTGGTGAAAATAATATACTTGGTGTCTGGGATATAGTTTGAGTGGTGTTTTTTTGGCTTTTTTGTAGCTGTTTTCTTATCACTGTTATTTCTTTAGGGTAACTCGATGCTAAACACTAGATTCCTTTTTTGTGAAATGAGGTTCAGAGAAACCTGCAGCACTAACATCCACAACAGTCGCATTGATGGGAAGCTGTGCTCAGTTTTCCTCAGACTGTGACGTGTTTGTTCCCCGCAACAAAAAAAGGATAAATGGCAGAGATGTGGCTGTTCCTCTACAATTTTTACCATTTGTCACTTTAGAATTTAATATTCGATTCCTTTTATGCCAAACATTCTTCCAGTTTTACATTTTGGGGGTTTTTATGATTTTTTTTTTTTCCTTCTTCTTCTTCTCAGCTTTGCATATTGCACATGCAATCAGCCAAAGCTTAAGATCTGGTTCTTGCTAAAGCCATAAGTACCATCCACCATGAGGTACCATGCACCTCAAACTGCTCGTTTTGATTCTTTCTGAGTTTCAGCATCGTCAGTGTCTGCGTCTAGTTATAGTGTTACAAAAGGTCACCTGGAGGTCAGGCGGCTAAAACCAAATTCACCTGTACAGCCACAATTACAGCTAAAAGTCCTAATTATGAGGAATTGTCTTAGTTGCTTTTGATCTGTGTCGGTGACAGCTGCTAAATGTAGAGCTGCCACGATTAGTCAGCTGATAATGAATTCATCCTGAAAACATCCCATCACTACTTGCTTACACATTTTCTTAAAATGATCAGCAGATTAATCTGATGATGAACACAAGTGTTAATTGCTGCTCTAGTGAAACATGAAAGTGTTTCAAAATAAAAATAAGCTTTACATTAAAATTATTTAGGTGGTCAAACTGAAAAAGCTGGAAATATCAGCATGTTCCAGTTTCACTCCAAACTCTCACTGTTACCAAAACATTGCGTGCGTGTCCTGTGACTATTGGGGTTCAGTTAAATCTGTGTTCCTCACAGTGTCCCGGTGACTCTGTGCTACATAAATGATATCTGTGAAATGAGATCCAAATTCTGGTCTGTTTTAGTGAGGCTGCAGTCGTTTTCTCGTGAATGTAATCCAGCAGATTCAGATGTTCAGATTAGAGGGTCACAAACACTAAACTGAACATTGATTCTGCAAGGCTGCACCTCCTGCCGCAACATTTAAACCACTGGGATGCTAATAAGGTCTTCTTTGGGTCTTGTGGGTCATTTGCAGTGGGTCCTCCAGTTTGACCTTCTGAGGGAGGCCCCTGTTTATGGGGGAAATGTTTAGTTGGGAAGTACATGATGGAGTTACTTATGGATGGACTCAAGGGTTTCCCAGCAGACAATTGCCTTGTAACGTGACCGATGTTAATCACTTCACCTGTCAGTGGTTTGAGTGTTGTGGCTCTTGCTCTGACTGCAGCGATTTCTGTGTGAATTTCAAACTAATGTTTAGCTGATATTTCAGATTTTGTGCTTATTTAACCTGTGCTGTGCTAATTCGGCTGCTTGAGGGTTTTTTCTTTTCTTTCCTTTTCTCTATCAGATACTTTCAGACACGGGCTGGGTATCCACTGTGTACCTGTGTTCGTGCCTCGAATTGGTCAAAACTGTTTTTTGTTTGAACTGAAAACTTAAACCCAAGTTATGAATTTGCACATCAGCTCTGCATTAGAAACAAGTGAATTATAAAAAAAAATAACTTTAACATGTAGAAGCAGTGTGGATCAAAGTGGGATAAAAAACAAAACAACAAAAACAGGAACTTTAGTGTTTGCGGTTCAGTTTAGTTTCACTTGCAGCCTCATGGGGGCAGTAGATGCCTCGTTATCTCTGCCCTGTGCAGTCATGTCTCCTGGAGATTGATCATTGACTGCTTGCTGTAAATGCCATTTTCAACTTGGATTGTGTAAATGTGAAGATGTTGATCATAAAAAGTGAATATGCTGCTGCAACACATACTTTTATAATGTTTTCAATAAAATAATAAAAACTGAACTTTGCACAGTCTTTTTTTTCTGAATAAATCAGGTGACAGATGTTATAACTGCCTCAAATTGAATTAACTGTTGGTGCTTCAGTGCAATTAGTGACCACCCATCAGTAATACTATAGGTAAGTATTGTGTCCTTTGTAATATCTATTCCAGAGTTTCAGTTTTGTTATTTTTTTTGTTGTAAGGGCAGAAAGTTTATGCTTGGTAAGTTTGTATACAGTGTCACCATGGAAACAAATTCCATTAAATCTTTCTGTGTTGCTCTTGATGTACTCGTTAGACGGGCTGGACATGTGCGTCTACAAGGGGAAACTGCCACAAAACTTGGGAAGCAACTACTAAAATGCTTTGTCACGCATCTGTGGCATACACACTTTTTCTCGTCTGAAATTTGAAATGTTGCCAGCTTTCCAGATTCCTTAGTTTTCTATAAAGTTACTTGTGATTATGGATTTTACACAAGATAAACATTGCAAATAGTATCACCATTGCGCTGCTACCAAATTATCACAAGATAGTGGGCATGCAAAAAAGAAGTCTTCAACATTTGTCAGTTCCAAACTATCCAATCCACCAGAATAAAATATCCTGACGACTATCAGTTCCTTTTGGGAAAGAACAACAGTGGTACCTCAGTAATCAGAACTGATAAATAAGCAGAATCCAAGCGGACTCAATGGCACTGATGAGTAACAGCACCTCTGCAACTTTGAACTGGACAAGACTAAGGAGATGGATGAAATGATACCCCTTTTTAAAAAATAATATAAGGAGATAAGCAAGTTCATACATTAGAGTGATATTTGACTTTTTATTGCATAGCTCCAACAGGTTTTCTTCCCATGAATCCCTTTCTATACACACACACACACAGCCTATTGGCATACAGTTGCATAGTTCAGTGAACTGTAATAAACCCCCAGGAAGAAAACAAATTCCTGTGGTCCATTACAAGAGAGACTGCAGGTCTTCCGGTACCTGGCTTGTAGTGCATTGGTACAATTAAGTCTTCGAGGACTCCCTGAAGCAGCAGGAGTGGATTTAAAGATCACCTGGTAAAAGGCATTCTAAAATATTGTTTAGAACAGACAAAGCAGTGCATTCAAGCATACAGTAAGCAACGAGTGACAAAATATTTGTAGGAGTGCAGAAAAATGTACGAGGAATCATTTCATCATAACAGAATAATAATAGCAAAACCTGCAGCTGAAGAGTGCAGAGAACAGCTTTTATGCCTGAGATCCTCCTCTGAAAACGTACCGTCGACTCTTTGGTTTAAGGTTAAAAACAATCAGCCTAGCAAGTCTGAGTTTTGGTGAAGCTAAAAGGCACCTGTGTGAATGTGCAGAAAACTGAGGTGGCTCAGATCTAACAGTCAATACGGTGCTAAAATGTGCAAAATAGGGTCCATGTTCAGTCTCACCTTGCATTGTGTATTTGTCTAATGTCTGGGGAAGAAAGAATAAGACCTTCGAATCCAGTCACACATTAACAGAACTCCTTTTCAGACATTTTAAATAATAACTCTATCAACATCCCAATCAGTAACTGGCTTATTTTAAAGAAACTTGAAAGGATTCTGGTTAACAATCTTATAATCCAACAGCTGCCCGTCTTTGGGATACAAAAAGAATTAAAAAAACAAACAAACAAACCCCCAAACCTAACAACAACAAACAAAAACTTTAGGAAATATTTTTTAGAAATATATTCTTCAAATAAAAACAGGTTCACACATATTTCTATGATCTGACCAGTTTGAAGCCCTGCCCCGTGTCCAGTATTGCTGGTGGAAACCAGTTGAGCTTGAGTCTCTTGAGACATCGCAGGCAGGCGCTGCAGGTCCACAGCAGGTTCAGGCTGCCGCACCACAGCGCCAGCTGGACCACAGGATAGGTAACCCGGGGGAAGTACATGCTCCAGTGATTGGTGACGTCGCTTCCTGTTGGTAGGTGCAGCGTGTAGTCGCCCCAGTGTTTGGAGATGCCGTAAGCAGCAGAAACCGCCCTGCCCCTCTCTGACCACTGGATGTTGCTGTTTGAGTTGCAGTTGTACTCCACCCACTCGGAGGTGAAGTCTCCGAGCTGCGGCAGGTCATGCAGCTCGACGTCCGCCGCTCTGGAGAGCGTCGCTCCCTGGATGGCAACATACAGATTTTCCACCTTCGTAACCGCCTTCACCCATGGCAGAGAGTTGTCACAGTCGAGCACCACAACAAGGCGGGAACAGAAGTTGGTGTTCTTTTCCCTCCACCACTCCAAGATGTGATCCAGATGTAGAGTGTCTCCACCTAAAGATGTGCGCATGAAACAGCTGATATATATATGTATACGTATATACGTATACACATATACGTATACACATATATACACACATATATACATATACGTATACA